TCAAGTAAGGGAGTATTATCTTATTTTCTGCTCCTTCCTCCATTATCACTGCTTCCATTATTGTGCATTTTTCTACTTTCAACTGTCTGAGGCTCACAAGGCTCATGACCATAGAGGGGGTAAACAGGTATCGCAAGTTGGTGCAATGACAAATGTCCAGATAGACAAGGCATCTAAAATCTAAGATTTGAAGGCTACTAGTATGCCAATTTTGAATCAGTTCAGGAAACTCGGAGAGGCTCGAAGCCACCAAACCAATAAATGCAACCTGCAAAGTCCAAGAAATTAATTGCTAATTATAAGACAAGAAACCATTAGTAAATTAACAGAGAAAAAAGAACAAAAAGAAAACAGAATAGGCAACTTCAAGCTTGCATTTGATAAATTTTTATGAATCAATTCATACCTTTTTCGTATACATTCTTTTTATGGTGGTATTGAGATCACCTTCCATATTCCACAATACCCCTCCCTCTACTTGCAGCAGTCGTGGTGTTTTTGGGACTCTCTTGGAGAAGATCTCCAATTTAGGGCATTGTTCCACAATTAGTTGCCCCAGATTTGGGAAATCAAAGATGAAATTCCCAGAACAGAAGCATGCTAATCTTATCAAAGCTTCAAGTTTCAAATATCTCAAACTACTGAAAATGATGGGATCTTGTGTCAAATCTCCTTGGCTTCCAACTATTTCAGTCAGCTTATAGCAATATCTCACCGTCATACTCTTTACATTCACCAGGCTTTGGACTGTTGCAACTGAAACCAAGTTCTCCATTTTATGGCAACCCGCTACAAACAAAGTAGTGAGATTCTTGAATGATGTCGTGGATGTCCATAAACTGATCAAATCATCACCCCGAACCACTTTAAGAGTTTCAAGATTTGAAAGAACATTTGACGAGTCTCCGCTCCAAACATGCTTGAGATTAGTAATGAATTCCAGCTTTAATGTTTTAATCCTTGAGAATTGTGTATCAAAGTGTTTCTGTTCTTCTTCTTCAACCTCTCCTTGTCCATGTGAAGGGAATAACTCTTCGAGAGAACACTTGGTTAAAACGAGTTTTTCCAAGTCGTAGAATTTGCGGAGGAAGCCGATTGGAAAAATAGCCGATTCACCACCAATGTAATGAGAAATCCGAAGGACTTTTATACTGAAAAAGAAGTCTCGTTTAAATCGGGATTCTCTTATCATATCGATGTCATCTTTTGACAAGGACAATTTCTCCAATTGAGGAATGATCTGGAAAGGAAACCAGTTCAACAAAAAAATGAAAAAGATCAGAAGATCATTAACTGTACTTAATGGGATCTCATAATAACTACTGCTAATGGGCCCGTTTTCTCGACAAGGTTGGGAAAGAGATAGAGTTGACTAATGACAATTGAGAGCGGGACATGGCTTGTTCAATATGGTGGTGAGCTGGGCCCTCTGGTCCCTAAATACCAACTGCCGCTGGGTTGTATACGTAAGGAGGAGGATAGGGTGTATAAGGCTCATTGGGCTGATGGTGGGCCTCTTTTAAAACATCAGGCCCGAGGACAAACAGAAAGTTGAGTCTTTTTCTTTTTTATTTTTTGGGCTTGAGAATAAGGATGAGCTTTACTTAAATGGGATAGGGTTTTCTATGGACCCTACGAAGTCTCGCGGGTACAAGTGAACATACTTCTCTTTTGGGAAGAAAAATCAAACCAATTTTAGGTTAGGTTTGGTTTGAGGGTAGAGGGAGGGAAAGGGAGACAATTTCTAATTTCTTATATCTATTTATCAAAAAAATTAAAGCAGAGAGGGGAGGGAATTCCTTCATTTTAGGGATGGAGGATGCATAGCCCCTTTTAAGATTTTGGAAAAAAAAATTAATTAGATATGTTAATATATTTTATTTTAAGTAGTTTTTATATTTATTTTGTTGTTAAAAAAGAAACAGTTATTACTTTCTTTGTAGGATTAGAATTGGTTTGTATTTAGATTATACTTACTATATTTTATAGCGACATAATGGGAAAAGTTTGAATTTTTTGGTCTTGGGATAATGAGTTATGAAAATTTTAATTTCTCTTCGTTGCGCACCAAGTATTAATTCAATTAATTCAATCAGAAGCACTTTCTTTACTACACTCTATTGTGTACTATATTTTGAGGGTGTGGGTAGGGGAATTATTTAATTAGCTTGATCTCTTTAATTATTGATAAATTTACATACAATTAATTTGTGTTTTAACAAATTCATATTTATTATCTTTTAGTATTTAATTGCATGTGCAATAGATTTAAAAATATAATGGAAAATCAAACTTAAGTGATAAAAATAAAGTTAAAGAGAAAAAATATTTGTCTATCTTCAAATTAAATAAAAATAATAATTAATTCGAAATAAATTTTTAATAAGGAACCGATGGAGTACTTAATATATTTACTTCTTATTTGTTATTTTTATCCTATAATTTATTGTATATTCATTTGTAAAAGATTAAAAATTTTGCCAAAGCTCCTTCCTTGGTTTTCTTTATTTTTTACTTCACTTATTCAATTGAGGAGAGGCAGGGGATGGAAAAGAAAATGAAAGGATCTATTTCTCCCAACCCAAATATACCCCTAGTGAGTATCCTACGTTTAAGCAAAAAGCATATTTCGACACAAGCGTTATTTATCTAACAACTGAAAGTAATAACATGGCTCGTACCTCTTTCATGTAGAAAAGTGGCTGTCCAACGGGGAAATCTGGTCGCCCTTGTCCATTTCTTATCTCCACTTCATCAACACAACCACAGTCAAAAACATCCAACTTTTTTAACTCTGGCCAAAGCGTTCTGTGTTTTCCTGAGTAAAAATATCTGAGGCTTTCCAGCTTTGCAAGTCTGAGGTTTGACAGTCGAGGAAACACAAACTTAACCTCTGCTTCTGTTCCTTCACGTCCCATTGCAACAATTTCCTCCACCCCACAACTCTCTATTTGTAGCTTTTGGAGTTGTTTAAGGCCTTTGGCTACTGAAATTGGAAACACACTTTTGATATTAGGACAGTTACGAACAACCACCGATTCCATATTACGAAAAGTGAGAATTTCTTTGGGATCCTCATTCCACACATGCTTCAAGCTCGGTAGACCATTAATCAACAAATTTCTCAGCGGAGTCTGTACTGATTCTTTGAAGTTTATCTCTCCCACTTTAAACACCTCTTCTATGGAAGCACATTTATAAATTGCTAACGTATCTATGGATTTAAAGATGCTTCCCAGCATATCTTTTGTAAAAATTGTCATTAAATTCTCACAATTTCCAACCTTCAACTCTGAGAGTTTGCCAAAGGAACCCGGAGAGAGTTGGCTGTGCCATATGATCTTTGTGTTTCTTAAATCGTAGAGAATGATGCTTTCCAAGCAGGGAAATGCAACCTGCGTAATTCAAGCCAACAAGTGAAGCGGATAAGGGTAATTAATTCCAAAAGCTAAAAGCCAAAACATGCAAGTCAAGAGATGAAAAAAATTTTACATGTTCATCGAAGAAGGGCAGTGCGTCATCTGCTTCATTTGTGCTCTCAGATTTGACCATGAATCCCATTAATTCCGGGCAATTTATTATACTCAATCGCTTCAAAGATGGGAATTCAACAAAACAATTACCTGAGGAGAATTCAAATAAAGTTTAGAAGTCAGCAAATTACAGATTTTTGTTTCATCGGAACAAATATATATATAAAGAGTAAATTTTATTGGAATCAAAATAAAAGTCAAACTTTTTTATGAGTGCAATGTATAAATGGCATTATAATCTAATACACAGAAGTCATATATAATAAGTTAAACAGCTTTTTTAAAAGTTAAATAGTAATTTCAATATCTGAAGTTTAAATTTTGTATTTTTTTATTTTTTAATTAATTTAAAAACTTTCTTATCCCTTAACTCTTAGAAATGTACAAAAAAAAAACCTTTTTTAAACTAAGTTACGCAATTTTTTGGTCCCTAAATAAGTAAATATAGAATTTTATTATTAGTGCAAGGACAAGGAAAAAAGAGAGCAAAGTTTAGTTCAATACTAATGTTACCATTTAACCTTTCTAAAATAAAAAAACACAGGAATCATTTTTCATTTTTATTTTAGAATTTTAAGAAACCACAAAAGCAAAGAAATATTAAATATTTTACCCATTTCTGGACCAGTATCCGTGGCAATAATCTCTCTCAAACTCTTGCAGCCTACTATTCGAAGGCGAAGAAGCTTCACGAGACCATTAGCCAAAGAGGATGAGAATAGATATTTTAAATCACTACAAGACACAATGTTCAATTTCGTAAGCTTCTGAACAGAGTCGCGTGTTGCTAAAGTGTTCCATATCCTGTCAATCTTAACATCAGTTAACTGCAACTCCTCAAGCATTGGAAACACAACCTGCATAAACATACAATTCTTTTTTTCTTGAGAAAGCTTACTTTCTTGGTAAATAATAGTTGAGAAAAGCTTATTGTTTAGTTCATAAATTAAGGAAAGAGGAAGAAAAATATTGTAGTTGTGGACAGAAGGCTTAGAGTGGACAGCCTAAAATGGTCAACCTAAATTCTAAAATGAATAATTAAATATAATCTACTCATTTTTTTAATTTTTTCTTTATATTTCCCCCATTCCCTCATTTCCTTTTATTAAGAAAAAAGTACCTTGGAGACTGTACTCCAATATTTGTCTCTTAATTATAATTTGATCCAGGGAAGACAACTATAGTAATCATACTTGCAACATGAACTTAATTTTGGTTATTGTAGTCTCAGACTTGCAATGCCCGCTACTCTTTTGTCTTTTTTTTTTTAATTAATTTGAGTAAAGAAAATTAGAAATAAAAAGATTAAGCAAATAAATAACTTGAATACCTTTTCATTGAAAAGTGGCATGCATCTAGAGCTTGATAACCGATCCCCTTCTTGATCTGCGACGCGGCTATTCTTTTCCTGACAGAAACTAATAAAGTTCGGTAATTTTTCTAATCTCAGGGACCGTACTTGGCCAAGCTCAATTTTTGTAGCTGCTTCCTCAATCTCACGAATGGTTGCTTGTGCCTCCTCAGCAACAATCTCTTGGCCAGGCTCAACTTTTGTAGCTGCTTCCTCAATCTCACGAACGGTTACTTGTGCCTCCTCAGCAACAATCTCTTCAACGTTCTCACAGTCTATCAAGCTAATTTCCTGGAGTTGGATAAGCTGTTTCACTACAGAGAAAGAGAACAAATTCTTGAGCTGATGACAACATTCAATGGTTATGATTCTTAATTTGTTAAAAGCTGTTGCTCCAAGAACGTCCAGTTCACGACATATCTTCTCCATTTTTGTCAAATTCTGAAGGACCAACTCCTCCAAGACTGGAAATGGATCGCTACATACTAACCTCTCTGAGTCAATCATAAATTGAATCCCTGGAGCATTTCGGACATAGAGAGACCTTAGTTTTTGAAAACCTTCATTTTCTAACTGATAAACCACATTCTTAACACCATGCAATCCCTCTAGATGTAGTTCTTCACAGACTTTTAATAACTTTGTAACTGAACTATGAGAACTGCCTGCCTTCAATTCCAACTTCAATATTTTTGTGTTTTCAGAAGAACTGTACCGGTGCCTCCACAAATCTCCTACAAATATCTTGTATCTTTTCCGTTCTGCATTAAACAAGCCTTCTGGGATCATTTGGATATCATTAATACAAACTTCTAAAGTAGTCAATTTCTTCAAATTCTTCAACTCAGCAAGGCTAGCATTTCCATTTTGATTCTCATGCTGCTCGATAAACTGCCACTGGTCAAAGCTGTTGGCCATTTTTAGCTCCTCTAGTCTATACAATTTGGACAAGATATCCCGTGAAATTACTTTGAGGTTGGTACAATCAGTCATGTCTAGCAACTTTAACATCGTCAAGCATGCTATTTCCATTGGCAGCTCAGTAATATCACATCCTGCAAGGTTGAGGACTTGTAACTTCTTCAGCTTTCCCATGATCTCCCCCAAGCCTTCTAGTGCTCCTAACTTACTTTGATTGAGACGCAATGTTCGAAGCTTTGTTAGGAGGGAAATTGATTGAGGCATCGACAAGAAATGCATCTTAGTCAAACTCAAGACTTCGAGGTTTTTCATTCCCTCAAAAAAGTCTGCTGGGACTGCAGTTTCTGAAGAAGGATACTTGTTAGACAAATGAAAGAAAGTAAGCTGAGGACATTGTACCTGTTTATACCCTCCTTCGGAATTGCTCCGCAACTCCAACTCACGAAGAAGTTGACTAATATCAGCATTTGGCAAATAAATCCACTTGAGTTTTACGGATATTGCCTCCTCGTCTGGCCACACCGCTGCTGCATCTTCATCTTTGGAAGATAACATTTCTCCATCCCTGGAAGCAATTGACATGGCAACTTCTTGGTCAGCATCTTGCATGTCGAACTGCATATTGGTAGGACCATTGAGTAACAAAGAAGAGTCTCGGAGAATTTTCACCGAAGCGAGTGCTGCATCTCTGAACTCCTCTATTTTGTTCAATCCTGGGAATAATTTTAAGCCAGTACCATACTCCATTAAGTCTTCGATGGATGCGTTACGGCCCATTAGACAGCAAAGCAAGAAAGTTTGCTGGAGCTCTTTGCTTTCCAACTGCCCAAAACTGAACTCAATAGCTGCACGAACAACATCCGTAGAGGCTTTAAGTTTTGGCAATAGAGAATTCCACTGCTGATTGTCCTTTCCTCTCAAAGCCATTGCTATTTTTTCAATGGCAAGCGGCAGTCCGGAGGATCTCTTCACAATCTCAATAACGTCCGATCGGTGAGAGCTTTCAATATCATCTTGAACTCTCAACTTAAACAGCTCCTTAGCCTCATCATCTTCCAACTTGTTAACATGGAAGATGTTATCACTTTGAACACCCATCTCTTCTAATAGAACTTTATGTTGTCTGGATGTAAGTAAAACTTTACACTCCTTTGGTTCTTCTCTTAATGAGCCCTCCTCATTATGTGGCAGTGAGCTTTCTTCATTCTGTTGCCCTGCTACAAGACGCTTCTGCTTGCTTCCAGGAATTCCAAGATCCTTCTTCAAATCTATTTTCTCCCAAACATCGTCCAAAATAACAAGCGCATTCTTTTCTGTCAGCCGTCCATTTATTCGAGCAGCTACTTGCCGAGAACGGAGGCCTTCAGGAAGCTGACACATACCCAAGCCGAGTGCCATTTCCTCTACAAGTTTTGGCAAGTCAGGAGAGCTTGTCACATTAGCCATGACCACAACATCAAACAATTTCTCTTGCTCAGCTTTTCTTTTAACTTCTTTCACCAGAGTTGTCTTCCCCACCCCAGGCATCCCGTACACCCCTACCATGTCAACAGTTGGACTCTGTAGTGCATTCATGATCTCGCCCAAAACCTTGTTTCTTGATTTAAAGTTAACAAAATCATCCCGTGAAACAATACTTTCCTGTTTCTGAAAATGAAAGTACGAAACTCCTCCGAAGACCTTTTGCATGAGTCCATCAACATCCGCAGCATACTCCTTTGCTTTCTCACTAAGATCATAGAGAGCCTTGGGATTAGGACAACACCCAAAGCAATACTTCCTCTCAGCTTTTGCTATTAATTCATCTACGTCGGCCTTTCTCTTTCCACTGATGTGCTCGTGCGCTTCACTCATCCACTGCTCGACCTCCTCCAAAATCTCGTCCCCCCTTTGCTGAGCTTCACAAACTCTGTGCTGCAGGTCCCTTTCCCTAATGGCCAGCACATCCAGTTTAGCCATCAGCTTCGTAACATTTTGTTTACAGAAGTACAGAGCAGTGATTGGATATATGACAAGGTACTTAATTGGATCAAAAACCTTGTCAAAAATGTTGCCTGCAAAGCAAGAAAGACTTACAGGATCACCCATAATCTTCCTGTTCTTTTTTTTTTTTTCTTGGTTTAGAAGTGAACAACTTGGGACAAAAGCCAATAAATCAAATGGATGATGCACTGAGATCAGTCTGTGATCCACAGTTTGTGAAAAAAGAAGAGGAAAAAGAGTTACTTTTTTGGATTTCTTTTAAAGGAATGAAGAGAGCAGGAAAATATAGGAGGGGAAAAGGAATTGAAACGGAAGGCCAAGACCGAACTCTGAAAGTACAAAGGCGGTGGAATGTAAAAGGCGAAAAGTATAGAAAACAGCTTTGATACTGGAAGGCTGGGAGGCTTTCTGAATTGTAAGATGCATTTGGTGTTCTTAAATAGCAATTGTTAAGTACAAAGCACGGACAAAAATAGCTAAGGCGGTGTTCGGGAGAGTTTAAAGGCCAACTGACAAATTATTTTACAAATTTAAAAAATTTTAAAAATTATTTGATGAAAATTTTAATTTGGCATTTTTGGGCTCAAAACTTGCTTTTGGGCCACCTAAGAAAACAAATTAAATTTTTTTCTCCAATAATTTTTTAAATTTTTGAGGAAAAAACCTGCTTAAAATCTCTACCAAACGAACTTCTAATTACATATTTTATTATATTATAAAAATAATTAAAAATCTCTAATAAATCTTAAATAAATATTTTTAAAATTTTCAATAAATGTTTTAAAATTTTCTTAAATTTTCAAATGATCAAACACTAATTTTGTCTCTAAACTTTAATTTTTGAATATTTTTAATTTTTAAATCATTTTTAGAATTTTTTTAATTCTTTGATTTTATAATTTTTTTTTGTTAGTTAAGCACCAACGGGTCTCTTAATCCGTCCAAAATGGCGTCTTTTAGTCCCCAAACTACTTGTTAATTACCAAAGATATTAGTACACGTGTGAACCCCATGTGGCGCGGCGTTAAATCCTAGTTACAAAGTGATAAAAATAATTTGTAAAGGGCTTAAAACCTCTAATAACTCGAACGAGCTCATTCACTATTCCTCTTTACGGTTAAATTTATAGATTGATCCTTTCAGATGATGTAAAATGAAGAATAATAAAAAATTTTATTTTGATACTATATTTTGATAATTAATATTATTTCATATAAACTTATATTTTATATCTACTTTTAATACAAAATTCTATCATGTAACCTGTTTTTTTCTGGATGAGGTTGTCCATTTGAGAAAGAGGAAGAGAACCATTTTTTAGTTTTCTTTTATCTCTTTCTGATTATAGTTTTCCACCTACTACCAAAAAAAGATTATAGTTTTCCACCTTTGTTGATTGAGATGTTAGGTTAGAAACAGATTTCAAATATGCTTTTACCCTTATTGTGTGTCACTAAGTAATTCTTATCTTCTATTACCATTTAAAAAAAGAAAAAAAAGGACGAACCATCGCGCCCATTTTGCCACCAACTATAATAATCCTGATCAAGGTACCCTGAGTATTATCTTTAATGCTTTTATTTTCATTATACAAAATCCTATCACATTAACTTAAAATTCTAGTTCAATCCCTTAACT